CATGTCAGCCCACCTCAGCCCAACTGGAGTTCCACGTGTACTGTGAGTTCTGAGTTCACCAGCTGGTCAGCACAGGGTCCCTGCTTTCATGTGACATTCAAAGGATGAGTACCACTGCTGTTTTCCCTTCTCCTCTCCTCTCTGCTTCCCCCGCCACACCTAATTCAGCAGCAGGGGAAAAGAGGGAGTAAGCAGCTGGGCTCCAGAGCTACATGAAAGCAGGAGCTGACCGCTGTTGCTGTCTATCCCCTCTTTTCCCCTGCTGCTGACGGGCAATAAGGGTGACGGTGGGAGAATGGTGGTAGCACTCACCAGCTGGGCTGTGGAACCATGCAAAAGCAGGGACTCTGGCCAGATCCTGCGCCAACCAGATGATGAACTCAGAGTTCACACCACATCGGAACGCCAGCTGGAGCTGCACAGACATGCTGGTGAGCTCAGAGAGCTCATTGGCATTTAAGATCATGGTAAAGTGGGGGTGTGTGGTCACACCAGGTTGGCTGCGTGCCATTTGCACAATGGCCACACCTTCCTTGCCAGGACCCTGGATCTGCCCATGCTTACGTGTATAAACACGTACCCAAGTGTTTGCACGACCTGGGTCTCAGCTGGGCAGCTCCTAAGGTTTTTTTTGTGTGTGTGTTTACCTTCACCTATTCAGCCTATAAAGGTCTTCGGGCAGAAGCTTCATCTTTCTTTACGTCTTTTGCATTACTGAGCAAAATCTTGGAGCTTAATAAATAAACCATGAAAATACATCAGAATAGAAATATTCAGAAACTTTGTTTAAAAATATAAATGTCTTTGTACATTTTAATTCTGTGTCTATACACAGGCATGGCCATCTTTTTATATAATAATGCCAGATGACAGTAGAGGATGCTAATGCCAATTAAGAGAGCCTAAGAAACACCGCAGTATAGCAGGTTTGCAATAATCTAGTCACCTGGTCACAACTATGATCACAGCAACAGACAGAAAACAAATAATTATGAATTAAACACACAGTTTTCCTTTATAGTTCTAAGTGCTGTCCCCAACACGTCAGTCTTCTGTGGATGTCTTGGGAATTCAGATGATTGCTTTGCACTAATACTAATGGGAGGCTAACAAGATTGTAATTTTCTGCATATCACGTTGTAGCTAATATACCCTTAGGCTAACCAACAATATAGCTCTACTACTGACTGTAACGGAAGGTCATAAGCGGAAGGAGAAAATATTATTTGCGGGAGCTGAATGTGTGTGTGTGCTTGCGTGTACGCACACACACTTCCCCAGCTCAGCAGGTAAGTCTGTCATGGGGAAGAGGTGTGGGGAGGCAGACAGAAGCCCCTGCAGTGAGGGAGGGAATGGGGCAGAGGCAGAGGCAGGGGCAGTGGCTGGGGTGAATGGGGCCCTGGGGCCAGGGCAGACTGTGGGATGCTCAGAGCCCAGACAGCTCATCCAGGGGTGGGGGGGCTCCTGCTGCTGCATGCATCCTGGCAGAGGCCCAGGGGGCTACAACCTGGCCTGGGGCCCCATTCACCCCAGCCCCTGACTCCCCCTGACTCTTCCCTACTCCCTCCTGCACTGTGGGGCCCTCAATCTGGCCCCCCTTCCCCTTCACAGAGTACACTGACATTTGCCTGGCTGCTGTACTGAACAGTAATCCACATGGCGGGGCTGCAATGATGGCTGGCTCTGATCCTGGCTGCATGTCTGTGTGTGCACACTCCTCGCCTCCTGCTGCAGCAGCCCAGAGCCCACAGCTGGGCTGCCCTGTGGCCCTACTCACTGCCCTGCGTGTGTGGGAGCTCAGCCCCATTAGCCCCAGCCTTCCACCACCTATGGGTAAGATAAGACTGTTTTGTGTCTATATTTTTAAAAGTCTTCATAAATTTGTCACCTAGTGCATACATAAGACTTTCCATGAAAAAAAGAAGAGAAGTAAACGAATGAAACATAGAATAGTTGCTCCCATTCTCCAGCTTTGTACTGTCCCAGGAGCTGCTGCACAGTATATGTCATCTGGTCCTCCTGACATTACTTTAGAACCCAGTTATAGTAAGGTTTCAAGAGCAGAATCCATGTCTCCCACTTCCAGATAGTCAAGCAGATAGCAATAGGGTAGAAAAGGCAACAGAGTTAGAAGAAATTTCTCTCCAGACTTCATCTGGTGCACAGATACTGCACCAGGCATCCAACTAGGGAGGGAATGAGGAAGAGAAGCAAGACCGATATAAAAGCAATGACTGAGAAAGAGACAAACACCTCTGTGCATACTGCTCAAATCTGCAGATATTTAGGTGCCAAATACTCAGCAGAGCATAAATTCTAAAAGATTAATAGTAAAACAAATATTGATCTTCTATGTCCTCTGGCTTTTTAGGAATATATATATTTCAGTCCCTTTTTGCCTTTTTTGGTAATAGACAATGAAAGGAAAACTCCTCCAAGTAATGCAGGATGGGAAATAGGAAGTAGGGCAATGATTCTCAACCAGGGTGCTACAGCACCCTGGGGTGCCATGAGATCCTTTTAAGGATGCCACAGGGTCTATGCAATATTAGCAGTTTTACATGTTCAATTACTCAAACATGATTCACAAGATAAATCTAGAGATTTCACATTGGAATCAACAGGATCAAATGCATTCTGACCTGTTGTGATCTTTCTGAGTTCTTTGCAACAGAAGAATTGCTCTAATATTTTCCCATACTCATAAAACAAGAGCTGGCCTTCTCGAAGAGGTGCCTTAAGTCTAAACAAGGGGTGCCTTGAATCTAGCAATTTTGAGAATCACTGATGTAGGGTGCAGGGGTATCAAAAGAGGCTGTTCAACACTGATGGAGGGAAGTTCACGATTGCCTGGAATAGGCCTGGAAACAAGGAGGGAGAATTCCCTGAAACACAAGACCCCCACAGTCAATGGAATAGACACTCCTAAGTGACTTAGGAAATTTTGAAGACATTACTGTTTGCCAACCTGATGAAACAGACAACAAGAAAACCATTAGATGTTTTCCCTTCTCTGTTCACTAGAGAAAAAACAGATTTTACAGAATTTCCTGGAATTTTGGGAAAACCATTGTGGTAGAAGAGGAGACAGCATTTCCCTGTCTCTCTCCCCCTTCAGTACAACCAAAATAAATGGAAGATTCTTCACTCTGAGGAAGATGATGTGAAAGAACCCCATACTTTATACTTCTCTCCTTTCTTTCCAGAGGGAACCATCCCTCCTTTTCACCCATCCAAACAACCTAACCTTAGTGCTTCCCAGCCAAACAGGTGTTCTGGACAGCAGCCATAACCCACAAGGCTTCTGCAGGGATCTCCATACAGAGCTTTTTGTTTAAAAGTCATAAACCTCCACCCCTGTCTGTCAGAGTTCTGCAAAATCATTAACCATTTGTGTGCCTGCAGAATAAGCAATATCATTCTTGCTAATATTTCCCCACAACAAGAACTGATTCAGTTCAGGGATACCTTGCTTCAGTCACCTCCCAGATGTAGCCTTCATCTACTTTCCTCCTGTGTTGCTGATGGTGTTTAACTTACTCACTTAGCTCACACCCTCTCAGACAGCAGCTTCAACACTATCTTCCAGATCTAGCTTCAAATATGGGGAAGGAGAAAAGAGATCTTAGAAGTCATCCATGCCTTAAATCAAACCACTGACCACGACAAGTAAACACTAAGGGTCTAACTCAACTAGCGACTTTGCAGATTTCTCAATTACTGCAAAATCCAGGATTGTCCACATAATCAACTTAAAATAAAACTTAATAAAAATCAAATGCTGGCTCCTCAATGGCGGCCAGCAGTCCTCTGCCACTGCAGCCCACTTCACAGCCTACCTGGGGGCTTGGGGAGGAAGGCGCTGGTTGGTGGCAGGATGGCACAAAGGGCAGCTGACAAGATGGCAGCCACCTCCTGGTCCCTCCTTCCCCCACCTTGGCCTCTTCATTATTCAGCACCGAGGAGCAGGGACACACAAAAGGCATTCAGCAGACAAGATGGTGGTCTCCCTGTCATCTCGCCTCCTTCCACCCTCCTCTCTGACAATCAGCACTGAAGGGCAAGGGCAGCAGAGTACATCCAGGAAATATCCATGGAATTTGCTATTTATGCCATGACCAATGCACAAAAATTGTTTAGTTTCTCTACATTTTAAGTAGACCCCTAGTAAACACCAGCCAGATAGCAACAAACACTGCCCTAGTATTTACAGGAATAAAAAGGTACACAGGAGTGGAAGTAGCCTCAAAACAATCTGCAGTGGCAATGCACATGATCCACAGCCTGACAGTACATATAAAAGTACAACCAAGTTATCTATGAAATATTGTTACCCATGAGATCATGCCAGACACATAAGATGAGGGAGGAATCCATGTCCCAGTGTGCCATCCTACAGTGATTAAAAAAGGCACAGAGCTGAGTATCAAACCACTTAGCATGTCTCTGGTTTTAATTAATTCAGCTGCACAATTGTCAATCATCAAATGTCAAAGACAACCACGTTTTATGTGAAAGAACGTTCTTTCCCCCAATTTTCGGTCTTTTCCTGAGACTTGCTTTTCAGAACTACAGATTTGTGACATCACAGTAAGTTTTGTGCCAGAAGTCTGCAATAGCAAGAACAGCAGATGAGGACCTCACTATAAGGAGTGTTTCATCAATAATGATCCTTAGAAGGAAAAGGATGTGTCTTTTGTACACAGGCCCTTTCTGGTTCCTGTCTAAACCCAGTACAAAAATTCCTTCATAAAGCCCAGAAAGGAGAAGTAACAACCCTCATCAGACAAATCCATCTATCTTTCAAAGGACAAGTGGAAATGAACTGTAGTAAATAACCTGGCTAAAGAACACTCACATGTTACATATGTAAAAAAAATTTTTTTTAATTGTGAAAACAGTCATTTTCACTATTTCCCCTTGCTTCCATCCCCACACCCGCATCTCTCAGCCCTCTTTCAGGACCAATGTTTATAAACAAACAACAAAAAAACCCTCACTATGTTCATAAGCGTTAAGACGTAATTCTGGACATGTTCTTTCCCATGAAAACGCACGACTGAGTCATCCACTGCCAGCAAGACCTCAATGTTGTAGTCATCTTTTTTGGCATGGCGTCTCTTCCGCTCCACTTCACCCAACCGGTCTTCAATTAGGTCCAGTGAGTTTGGGAGCTCACCCACACTGAAGTGTGGAACTGAAAAGGTGAAAAGAAAGGGGAAAGAAAAAGAAAAATTAAGGTCACTAAATGCCAAACAATGAGGCTTTTGCAGCATTTCCTAGCTCTAATGCAGCCACTGCCGACTTTCTTAAGTGTGTGTGCATTTGCTTCTCTGTGTGAATGCCCATAAAATATCTGTCTGATGCCTGCATTGATTCTCCCCACCACACTGGCTGGTAAGGGACAAGCAATCTGCATATGAACTATAAGAGAGAAGTCTGTCGGCAATGCCCCGAGTTTATCTGAATTCCTTACTCCCCCCCACCCCACCCTGAAATTCTGGAAGGAGAGGAAAAAACTTGTCAAAATAAGAAATAACAAGGTGCCTGGTGGGTGTTTAGTAACTAAACTGCAGCTTCTGGTCTTTTACTCTATGTAAGGCGGCAGTGCAGACATGCTCCATTTTTGATTCACTAGGGAACTGGAATGCAGTTTCACTCCCAGGCCTAACCAGACATTCTACTGGCAGCTCTCTCAGTCAATCACAGCTTCCCCCCGCCCAGGACACTGTCCACTAGGGCTGTGCGAGGCTTCGGGCAGAGCTTTGAATCCGGAGAAGCTTCAGATGCTCCGGGGTCCAAAGCAGCACATCCAGGTTGCAGTGCTGGCCTCGTTAGGCTTCCCGAAGCGGTTCGGAGCTTCTGTCTCACAGATCTGGCCATAGGGTATAATGGGGAAACAATAAAATATCAATAACTTTGGTGGTTTTTGTCCGATTTCGATTACATTTTCAGAGATGATAGACTCTACAGACAGCATGAAGCCTGCCAAGTTTCAAAAAGATCGGTGCAGGGGTTTGGGGGGGAACTGCCTCTCAAGCTGCAGGCAAGCAAAACTCGTGCCATTGGTGACACTGCATGTGTTAAGGCGCAGTGGGGTGACAGCTCCAGGGGTGGTGGCCCCTGCTGCAGCCATGATGCCTGCCAGCTGTCGAGGAGATCTTTGCAGGAGGGTTCTGGGGCTCTATACCCCTAGCTGCTGACAGGCAAAACTTGTGATAAGGGTGCTTGTAGGACTGACTCTCTCTGTCTTGGGGTATGGGAGACACTACTGCAGGCCTGGCTGCTAAGCTACTGTGTTACCAGTTACCAATCATGATTCACTCAGGGACCAGCTCAATACACAGTTGCTAGGTAATGTAGCCAGTTAATTGACATCAATTAGCACCTACAAAAGCAGAGACTAAGGAGAGGAAAGAATCACTACAAGCAAGCAACTGCCCCAAGACAGACAGTCAGTCCCACAAGCACCCATGTCACGAGTTTAGTCTGTCAGCAGCTAGGGGTGCAGGGCCCCAGAATCCCCCTGCACTGATCTCCTCGGCAGCTGGCAGGTGTCATGGCCTCAGCAGGGGCTACCATGCCTGCAGCTGTCACCCCACTGTGCCTTAACGCATGCAGTGTCACCCATGTCACGAGTTTTGCATGTCTGCAGCTTGGGGTGCAGTTTCCCCCAAACCCCTGCACCGATCTTGAACCTTGGCAGGCTTTGTGGCCTCAGTAAGAGCTACCACCCCTGTAGTTTTGACCCCCCTGTGGTGTAACACATAGACGTGACAGGAGTTTTGCTTTCAAGAATTTGGGGCACAGTTCCCCCCAAACCCCTGCACTGATCTTCTTGAAACTTGGCAGGCTCTGTGGCCTCGCCAGGGGCCACCATCCCTGCAGTTTTTACTACCCTGTGGTGTGACACAGCTGTGACATGAGTTTGGCTTTCAAGAATTTGGGGAACAGTTTCCCCCAAACCCCTGCACCGATCTTCTTGAAACTTGGCAGGTTTCATGCTCTCAGCAGAGGCTACTATCCCTGCAAGTTTCATCGAAATTGGACAAAAACTAACAAAGTTATAGATATTTAATTGATTCCCCCATTATACCCTATGTCCGGATCTCCAAGGTGGCTCCAAAGCTTCGGAGCTGCTTCGGCCGGATCGAGGCAGAAACCTGGTTTGGAGCTCTGGATCAGATAGCGGCCATCCAAAGCAGCCAGATCTGAAGCCAGATCGGATTGCTGCCGACTCGCACAGGCCTACTGTCCGCCCTGGGTGCACAGCTGAATGTAATTTTCCACATGCAAAACCGCTAAGCATGCTCCCAGCCCCCAGCATGTGCCCATGCTTTTTATGTCTGCAGTGAAATTTCAAAACCTTTCAGAATAATTCCAAGTGCTTTGAACATCTTTTAAGCACCTGTCCTGCTTAAACATCTCTAATGGCAGCAAGTATTCACAAGCACAGGGTCGGCATTCAAGAGTGAGGCCCCACTGTGCTAAAAGCTGTACAACATGCGTAAAAAAGAGATAGAGAGGAAAGGAAAAGATGTATACGGAAGTGTAGGAAACAAGAGGGGATGAGAAGAACAACCAAGGGATGAAAAAAACCCAGCTAAATCCCTCAGATGTCATTTCTAGGAGAACCACCTCATGGGAGTTACTGAGAGCAGGCACTGCCAACTCCAGAAAGGATAAATGGAGGACCAGGGTATGCTTTCTATTAAAAGCAAGTGTCATGGTGGCAAAAGTACCAAGCTAGACAGTGTAGTAATAGCACAGGAAACAGGAATGCTATTGGTCCTGTCCCTGTTCTTGTCAACATTGAATTCTCATCAAAGGCTAAAAATCTGAAGAGGAACTCCTCCCTAAATGAGTTTTAGGAGTTCTCTGAAGAGAATAATAATTTATTAGAGTGATTAGGAAATATCCCCCTACACAGGCCTCTCATTAGCAACATGATTCTCTGATTCCTGTGCCCAAATATATAAATGAAGCTAGTGGGCATTAAGAGAAATTCATTGTGCCTAAGGACAAGTTACATAAAACATGTCTCTCCTCTGGTGAAGAAGTGCTCAAAGCATGTCTACCAGGAATTTCTGTATTTGCCAATAAGGGGTTTGTTTTCAAACAGATAGATGAGATGAAGACTGAGAGGCCCAAATTGTAAGGCTGTGTTTAATTTGATCATGAACATTAAATATAGCAAAGCTAAAAGCTAACCTCACACCACAACTCAGCCCCTGACTCTCACCCTACCATCTTTAAAATAACATATCCACGCTCAGTGTTTCAAGAAATTCCTTCTCTATTTTTACCCCCTCTCCTTTTTACAGAGCAAGCTGTGACAGACACATCACACACTTACAACAGAAGTGTTGATCCACTCTTACATGATGTCTTAATTGGCCAGGTGTTTTAGTGCAGTATGGAGCAAGTAGTCAGAGTGGCCGCATTCTGCACAGGGAGCAAAAATACTAGTAAGTCAACTCAGCCAGTGGGTTTTGCCTGAGGAACTGGAATACATCTCCTGCTGTATCACCTTCCTGTTTAGTTAATTTAATTCCTGGCCCCTGGCTCTAAAGTCCTTGTATTCACTCACTGCACAGCCAAGTTGTGGCAATGATGACTTTTACAGCTTGATTCTCCCTTGTCCTGTACCCTATACCATTGTTATGAGTGCAAAGTAGATGTATCGTCTATCAGTGTCCCTGTGCTTCAAAATGGTGGCGGGGGCGCTTTATCTAAAGCTCGTTCGACGAGCTTTAGATAAAGCAACCCCGCAGCCATTTTGAAAGACAGGGACACTGATACACAAGACACTCCGGGCACTTTAATTAGAGCAGCTCCAAGATCCGCTCTATTTAAAGTGCTCCCCCACCCACTCCACTCCCAGAGCATATGTAAAAACATCCATAGTTTTTAAGTGATGCTTAACAAGCATTAGCCTATTTTAATGCAGATTAACTACACAGCATTTGTTTAGTGATACTTTAATGTGCATTAAAATAGGCTAATGCACTTCAAAGTGCACGTGTAGACACGCCCACTGGGTAGCAAACTATATGACAACATAGGGCGCATCCACACATGCAAGCATGTGCGCTTGCAGCAGCTCAAATAGAAGCGGTGAAAATTTGAGCCAGGGCTTTTTGCCTCAGCGCACATGCTCAGACTTTGTTGTGGAGCAAATTGTGCCATTTGGGGCAAAATAACCCTGCCTGGCTCCTCCTGGATATGCAGCCAGGGGGAGCTAGAGCCTGGGGCCCACACCTGTGCTGGCCCCAGCAGTATAAAAAGTTGCCCTAGCAAGCAGCTCAGGGCTACTGTCTCTCAGAAGTTTCTGGGGCTGGGGGGCTCTGCTCAATGTCCCCCTCAGGCACATTTATTTTCATATTTTGCCCCTCTGTCCCACTCCACCCTCCTCTCCTGTTTTTTTTTTATTAGTTGTCCCAAGTATTTTGTTGTGTCATTCATCCATTAGCCCCATACGTTAGGAGCTATTAGTTAGCCTTGTGGGCCTCAGAGCCCACGATAATTGGGTGATACAAATAGTCAGGAGCTTCTGGGGCCCATCCAATTGGTATCTGGGGACACTACCCCTTGTGCCAGCTGGACTGCTGCATATCCATGTTTAAAATACCCCCAAATCCATGTTCTTCCACAATTAGAACAAAAGACCACTCTACACACACACACACAGATCAATCAGTTAGGCAATGCTTTATTGGTATATTTACAATGTTAAAGCAATTTGGAAGCCTACCAGTGTCTCTATCATCATAATAAAATTAATTATAAATACAGGAAACCCTCGCTATTCGTGGGTTCAGCATTTGCGGCTTCAAATATTCGCAAATGCCAAACCCACATCTTAAATACTCTTAAAGGAGCCCTTTGGGAGCTCCGTGCTTGCCGCCGCTGCACTCCTGCCGCCACCAGCACAGCCATGCCCCACCCCCCTGCCGCCGGGGGTGCAGTGTTCATGAACACAGTGCTTTATTCACTGATTTCACCGTGTGACCTGCTCTGGTGCAAAGACAGACAAGCGAACCACACCAGGCTGAGCCAGGTCCCGCTGCATGCTGGCAGCTTCACCGCAGCTGCTCCGGCCACTCATCTCCCGCAGCTCCAGTGACATCCCCCCCACCACTCCCCACACCCCCTTGATATCCCCCTCCGTCCACTCCTGACACTCCCCCGACATCCCCCGCCACTGCTCATAGCCCCTGACAACCCCCTCCACTCCTAACACGCCCCTCCATTACCCTGCCACTCCTCACGCACTCACACCCACCCACATCCATAAACCCCTCCCACCCCATTCCCTAACTTACCTTGGACAGCACTGAGGGGCAGCAGGAGCACCAAAGAGATGCTCTGGCTGACACCAGAGTATCTCTTCTGGAGAACTGACTCCTGTGTTTCCTCCAGGCACGGTCTGGGACCATGCCTTGCCACACTGTTCTCCAGAGCATTTTTTTTTTACCCCAGGGGTCTAATTTTGTCCCTGCACTGCAAGTTTGCAAGGCTCACTTTATAAGGTTTTCAGCAGCTTTGTCACTTACCATTCATAAAGAACTTAGAGGTTTCCAGATATAACGTGTTATATAGAGGCTAAGTATTTCTATTATTTGTACTAATTTCTAAAAAAATGACCTTCCACTAAGGCAACAAGGCACTACATTTTAGACTGAAGGTAAAGCAGGGTGGGACCTTAGAAACTAACTGGTTCAGAGAAGCATGAGCTTTTGTAGATGACCACCTACTTTGTCAGATGCAGGCTAACTCCAGTCTAGCATGGCTAACCACCTCTCTATATTTTAGACTGCATAACAGACTTATAACACTGAAAACAGCTTGAACTAAAAAACGTCTCTTCATGATGAAAAGAACATTAAATAAATGTAACAGCAACAGCAGACTTTGCCATTTAAAGGTTTACCCACATGGGAGAAGAAAATTGGATATTTCTCTGAAACAGAACACCTGCCACTTGATTTCCTTACTGATAAATGCAAAGTATACCCATGTGTCTGAACAGCCCTGTGAGATCTGATTCATCTTAAGATACTTTCACCACATTTGTTCAGGGAATGGGGGGGTGGGCTGCAGTGGCACAGGCCCTAAGGCATATGGTTGACAACCCAGAGATCTCAAGCTTAAGGTCAAACCAGAAGCACTCATGGCATGGCCCTGTCAGATTCCAATGAATCTGCAAATTCTGCTAAATAAATACCTTGTCACACAAGGACAAGAAAAAGAAAGGAAGGCTCAGGGAGTAAAACTCAACTAACAGCATGACAGTGGACAACCAGGCTCAAATTTAGAGAAGTCCCTGGGCTCCAAGAAGCACAGCATGCAAGGAAACACAGAGGTTACCTAAAGCTCTCACAGAGCAGCTGTGAAGCCCATGCATGTAGGGTGAAGTAATTTACATATGCACAGTGTCCTACCTTCAGTATGAAGGTCCTTGTGTGAGTCTGCTCTGTCCTGTCTGATAGCAGATCTGCGGTAGATCACATGTGCTCGCCCATTCTCTTCCTTCTCTTGCTGCCCCTTCTCCAGGGGCTCAATGAAAAACTCATTGCTGTCCGTTCGAATCAGACCAGCCTAGAATCCATGGGAAAGAAACGGGGGAAAGGGAACAAAAAGGAAAGAAATTTTTATAAATATATATACACAGATACACAAACACACCCATAACTAATAAAAGACTGCTTTAGAGGGAAGAGGCAAACACAAAGCAAAAAGGAAACCCACAGGCCAGCATAAAGTGTCCAAAGGGCAATATGATTTAAACTCTTTAGCAGTGGCACATGCTGGCCACAGGCTTGGCATGACATGGTACAGCACGGCAGTTAGGGTGAAAATATGTATTGTGTTATATGTGAGGATGCACAACACCATCTGCACCACTCTTCTGGTTGCAAAAGAAGAAGGAGAAAATGCAGAGCTCCATGCAACAGCTGAATCTGACAGTGTTGGTTTTAATTAAGAAGTTCTTGATAATGACAGCAGGTGATGGTATTCAGAATCATGTGACATCAAGAAACACATCTAACTGCTGCCCTTATCTGTATATTCATTAACCCTCAGCTCTTCTTCTACATCACATCATGTTTAAAACCAAACTTTCAGAGCTTATCTCCAAGAAGGAAAATTAATTGTTGAGACTAGTTGCACAGCAAGGTCCAGTTCAAGGGTAGCAATCCTTTTAATACAACTTTTGGGGCTGGGACTGGTCTGCAAATGTTGTTTTGGAGAGAACTTGGTGACATAAGAGTTTCTATTCATAATTTTATGTCCATTGTTCAGTTATAGGCTGTGTGTAGACGAAACAAGAAGCATGTGTGCACAACACTTTAAAGTGGGCTAAATGCTTTTGCACCGCTTTAATGGTGTCAGTGTTTACACGCCTCGGTGGTGTATTACGCATTAATTCCAGCTGCTGTAGGAAATTCAGCAGCATAATGCGCCTTAAATGACTTGGGGCACAGCAAGCTAAAACTTCTTTGAAAAGTTTTAGTTTGCTGCCCCTATGGCCGTGAAGTAAAGCACTGGGCTCCATGCAGCTCTGTGGCTCTGTAGGAAGCCCTGCAGGCAGCCTGGCAGCAGCCTGGGAAGGCAGGATCTGCCCAAGAAAAGTGGCAAGCCTGATCTTTATTTTCCCCCCCACACTGAAGCCTGCCTACCTGCCTGAGCTGCACAGGGGCCCAGTACTTCCCTCTGTGGCTGTGGTACCCCCCGGGACTGCCCAAACCGGGTGCCTGCAGGAGGGTACCACTGCAGAGGGAAGCACCAACCAACACCATCCCGCCCCGCCCCCCACCTCCCCTGCAGCCCAGAAACCACTCCACCTGCCAGCAGCTTGCCTTCCCCTCCCCACCAGAGAGGCAGGTCAGTCAACAGGGTGTGTGCATGATACAGGGGTTTAATCAGCCCTACATTGAAGCAGTGTTTTTTAAAACCCACTGCTTCAATTTAGGGCCCCCTACACACCCCCTTAGAAACCAAAACCACACAATCACCTGAAAGGTGGATACAGTCCCTATGATGCAGCCCTAGATTCGGTGGCCGAATCTCTGAATCCGAATCGAATCAGAAGACCCTTTAATCTCTCCAAATCGAATTGGAACCCTCCAAATCGATTCAGAAAGATTCGGTGATTCAGACATAGACACAGTTTTAAATGTATTTTCTATATACCTCAAGGTACCAGTCATGGCTTGTGAATGCTACAATGCTGGGGTGCATGGAGTGTCCCACAGGAGCGCAGGGAGATCCCCATTGCACTGGGCAGCAGACTCGGAAGTGGGCCGGAAGCACTTCCGGTCCACTTCCGGGTCCACCAGGGAGGATGCTGGGTGCTCCCCC